TGTGCCAGCTGTCTCTTTAATACCGCGTGGTTTATATACATGCTGGCATTTCTGACACACCCACCAAACAAGAGAAAACACATGTCAAACCCACACTGCACACCGTTACACACCGTTTCCAGGAAACATGTCGCTCAACCCGGAAACCGTAGCTAAACGTTGCACACCGGTTTGAGCTTGAACGTGCCACAGATGTGCTTGCATTAGTTGGTGAACAGATCCCTCTAGTGGGAAGAAATAAACACAACAGTGTATTATCCAGTGCACAACTCTGATTTTCTGTTAAATAAATATTTATTAGATTGCACGAATGTATAAGTGAATGTGTGTGTAAAGTTTCAGAACAGCCAGCGTACCATGATGATCACAGTTACTGTTTCTACTGTAAATCCATGATTTTTAATGTTATGAAATAAAAATGCATTGCTTTATTATTTGTTGTCGTTTTGTTTTGACACATGTTCTTACGGTTCTCGTATTTTTTTTCTTTTTTTTCTTTGATGTACACTTGTAAATGCGTGTCACTTTCCCATGCTTATAAAACATTTCTTATTGTACAAAACGTTTTCTTTTGGGGGCTAGTCTGTAGTCGCTATATAAAGCGCAATATAAAAATGCTACGTCCTCAATTATATACGTAAAGCGTGCGTGCGTGCGTGCGTCTACGCGCTGACGTTCTTCCTGTTTCGTGCCCCGCACATCCGGTCGGCCCGACGACACGCCGCTGTTGAGTCTCTGAGCGGATGATGATGGAGCGGTGAAGTTCACGGTAAGGTGCGGTAACCTTCATCTTATCCACACGTTTACACGGTCGTGGTGTATTTTATTCATTTCTATGTAAGTTCCGCGCGGGTCTTGTATCTGACAGCGCGCCATCATCTCTCTCACAACAATCCTGTCCGCTAATTAAGCCGATAGCTCGCTAAACTACCCACGAGTGTTAGCTATCGCTGCACACACGCGTCGGTTTTGTGTTTCGGTTGGGTTTGTCGTTATCTCGGCGTGTTTTTTCGGTCTGTCACGCCACGTTGGCTGAGATTCGGCACGCGCGAGACAAGCTCGTCGGTTAGCGGGAAAGTCGGTTATTTTGATAAAGTCGCGAGTTAAGCGAATATCTGAGGTAAAATATAATTGTTTGGTACGAGTGTAGTTGTGTTTTGTGTTGTTGGTTAATGTGGCGTTTATTAAGCCCACTATTGGGCCCGTGTTGCGTCAGAAAAAAGTACTGTCACATGGTAATGCCACGATAATGCAGATTACTTTTTTCAAGTAACTAGTAAAGTAACGCGTTACTTTTTAATTCACAGGAGAATATCTGAGTTACTCTTTCAAATAAGTAACGCAAGTTACTTTTGTTTCCAAGTTATTGACTGACAGCTCTGCTGTCGCCATGGTGACAGAAATCAGAAGATGCTACTGTAGTCAATAAATATGAATATGCATTAATTACAAAAACACACACAGATTCAGTATTCCTCAAAATGAATAAAAATAATGCAACTCAGAATATGACGCAAACCTGCAAAAATTAAATATTAAACAACACAAATATGCTTTATGTATTTAATCCCATTCTATTTGCTTCGATGATCCGGTTCAAGCGTACTAATAAGCACACATTACTCTATGAATGAATTAATTAATTGTTGAAATGTCGTCTTCTGCGTTCTACTGTACTTTCCCTTCAGCCTGAGGCTTATTCATTTCACTTCTGGTGTGAAAAGGCTTTTATATTTGCCAAAAATATAACTTTTTTTATTTTAAAAACAAACAAGCAAGCCCTGTCCAGATTTAAAAAGTAGCCTAACGCATTACCTTCCATAAAAAGTAACCAAGTAACGTAATTAGTTACTTTTTTTATGGAGTGACGCAACATTGTAACTAGAGGTCGACCGATATATCGGGCCGATATTTGTCATTTTTTAATATATCGGCATCGGCCGATATCCGTGTTTAGTAGCGCCGATTTAAAGTCAGGCACGTCCGCGGGCAGCCCCGTGTTATTGGTGCCGCATGTGAAGGACCCCAAGCCAAAACTTTTGGAAGATTCAACAACAGTCCTGGGAGATAATGTTAAGGCTTAAATTCTGATATTTCAAAGTCCTATGGCCATATATTTACTATATATTACTAGTAAACTATGAAGTGTTGCTTCACTTAGTGAAAGAATAAACGAATAGCATATAACCGTCGGGAACTGGCATAATGCTACTACAGCTGGTTAAAGGTTCGCTTACTTGCAGTTAACTTTAAGGACTGTAGTCGAAAACTATCAGCAGCTTGCTTGCTAACATATTAGCCCCAATGTTATACGTTCTGTTTTATTTTACCTGTTTTATATATTTAATACTTGGTAAGTTTATTGATTTGTTTGGTTAACTTTGGATAAATATTTAATTTTAATAACGTGCAGTGCACAAAATTAAGATTCGAGAGATGGTTCAAGTCGGTGTTCAATAAATGATGATGTTACGTTTAGAAATGTTGTGCATCCACTTATTATTAGTGTGACATTTTAGCATGCAAATGAAGGGGAAAACATCAAGATATCGGCCCTAAAAATCGGCAGCACATATCGGCTGACCCTGACCTCTAAACATCGGCATCGGTTATAGAAAAACCCATATCGGTCGATCTCTAATTGTAACGCATTACTTTTAAAAGTAACTTTCCCCAGCACTGGTGCCCACACAAGTGAAAGAGGGAATAAAGGAGAGAAAGAGTGAGTCAGTTGTGCTGGTTCAGCGTGTGTGTGAGTGTGTGTGTGAGTGTGTGTGTGTGTGTGTGTGTGTGTGTGTGTGTGGACACTTTTCAGCGCATTGCATAATAATCAAACGGCTCATTGTTAAAGCCCTTTGTTTTAATTCATTCTAAATAATGTGATCTAAAGATGTGTTTTGACAGCTGAGTTAAGGCTGCTCTGTGCCTGCTCAGAATTAAGTGTAAAGAGCAAAGCTGGAATAAATAACGCCTGCTTTGACCCAGTATCAAAGTATACAGTTGTGTAAATGCATTTACTGAGCAGCATTAAAAAGTCTGTCACCTAGTGCCGCTTCAGTAGTGCTTCTGTGCCGTCTTTGCTGTGTAAATGTGCCATAAAGATGATGGTCTGGCATAACATGGATGTATGACCCATTTATCTCATTATACTGAATTCATTGTATTACCATGTAATTACTATGGTATTATAATCACACAAAAAACTATGTAAAATGTACTCATTTTTAAGTTTTTGCACAAGTAAAATTAATAAACATTCTTTTTGATCCACCCATGCAGTTTCAGTTAATGCAACAAAAATTATTCATGTTAATAATAATACATGTTACGTATTTAAGTGGACTGAAATTAAGTTTAGCAAATTGTTGCATTTTTCCACCGTGATCTCTGTGCCATTTTACTACAACAGTACTGTTTTTAATGATCAATTGTTATTTCGACAGATTAATAAGGCCTTTTTGCCCAGAATCAGTATCTTAAACTGTTGTATCGTACTTTTATTAACAATAGTTAACTTGCTCATCACAAGCTAATACTCTGAATTTCTTATTTACGTAGTCGTTAAATTGTATTATGTAATCAATATTATATCATCCTGTGGTCATCCTGCTCTCTAGGTTATCAGTTATACCAGTTATCAGTCGACCACTTTTTTCCTTTGTAAGTCTGTTTACATTGTTATTGTGTGTACTGTAAGAGATTTAAGCCTGACTCATGTTTGTTTCTCTCTCTCAGATGCGTGTGTGCTGTTTGGAGATTTGGGATAGACTGATTGAGGACAGCAGCTAACCCACGTATGGCCTGCGAGTCGGCGTTACCTGCCATCATGGACGAGCAGGCCCTCATGGGACTGAACCCCAACGCCGATGCCTGCTACAGGCAGAGGGTGAGCGCAAAACACTGGATCAGATCTTTGTGTAAACATACACACTTAAATCATTAATTTCCTCTCTCTCTCTCTCTCTCTCTCTCTCTCTCTCTCTCTCTCTCTCTCGCTCTCTCTCTCTCAGATGTGTGTGTGCTGTTTGGAGATTTGGGATAGACTGATTGAGGACAGCAGCTAACCCACGTATGGCCTGCGAGTCGGCGTTACCTGCCATCATGGACGAGCAGGCCCTCATGGGACTGAACCCCAACGCCGATGCCTGCTACAGGCAGAGGGTGAGCGCAAAACACTGGATCAGATCTTTGTGTAAACATACACACTTAAATCATTAATTTCCTCACAAATGATTTGGGACTGCATGCAATCTGTGTCTGCAGAATTCACATGCACATAATTTACAGTCCATGACTTTTTTTGCATGACTAATACTTGGGAGTGCATCGTTGAGTAAATAAAACAATATTTACTTGCGTTCTCTGTGTTTTCAGGCGCTGGCATATTTTGAGCAGTTGAAAGAGTCTCTGGATGGATGGGAGGTGTGTGCTGAAGCCCTGGCCAAAGGGTTTTACAGGTAAAATACACTTTAGAAGAGCATGAAACCACTAAATCTAGTGTTTTTCTGTAAGATCATAGCAGGCCTTGTTGCTACATATGTGCATGCTGTAGTGTTTCACGCACTAATATTGATTCATGCAATCTGTCTGTGTTTCTCTCACAGTGACGATCATGTAAAGTTCTTCTGCTTTCAAGTCTTGGAGCACCAGATTAAATTCAGGTATCACTGAATCTTTGCAAACTCTGAAAAATTAAAAATGTGCAAGAACTGATCAAATGTATACCTTGAATGCAGCTCAAGTCGCTTTGGATAAAAGCGTCTGCCAAATGCATGAATGTTTAAATTATGATGTTTTGATTAAACATTACGAGGTCCAAAAATGTAACATGCGCTGATGAATTGTTCGCATTAAGATCTATAAAATGCATTTAGAAAATATATAGGGTGAATTTTAATTTACTCTGAAGTAAACTCCTACTGCTATGATGGGCTAGCAATTGTGTATGTTTGACAGCCTACATCCTTCATAGATGGACGCTGCTGTGGTTATAAATACTCGACGATCTGTAATAACAGACAAAGTAATAGTGGCCACGTAATCAAAACAGTTGCACTCACTAGTGTGGTGAGACATTACTGCCGGATCCAATATATTCAATACACAACAACGTCTTTTAGTTTCTATCTTAATGAAAACCCGGAGTTGAATTGTGCCTTGTTTGTGAACGAATCCATGGTAAAAGGAAGTGAACAGAGGACTAAGTTCTTTCTGATGCGGTCTGGATCTTCATTAAAAATAAAGTTCATCCACTCTTCTCTAAAGTTGGGATCAGAAGGAAGGCAATGCAAAGACTGTTTATCCACATCTTGGCACTGCACAGCGTCTTGTTGTCTGCGGAGCATCTTTATCGTTTGGTTTCTGCATAGACCTGCGTTTGCCTCTCTCGTTATTTACACTGCAGTCGCAAATCGGTGTGCGGGGCTAACCAGGCAGTGCTGTAGAATCGTGGGCGGGGCTAAACAGGCAGTGCTGTAGAATCGGTGGGCGGGGCTAACCAGGC